CGAATGTGAGCCCATGACACTGTATTATACTACCTTATTACGTGTGTTTGGGAATGTAGCACAAGACATTAAACAGTCTTATTCGTAAAAAATATATGTCATATCTATTCATTATCAATGGGCCACAAAAAAGCATTATGTATAGTAGCCGAAACAAGGTACCGAACTCATTCTCGGTGGATTTGAATGCTTCACATGGCTAATATATCAGAGGTAAAAGGTAATAACTGTTTTGGGTGTTGGACATGCCAAAACAATGATAATAATTGGAGACACGTCACAGTGGATTAATTGTGACTGTCTTCGAGGCTATTTGTGACCGTCTGTTATTTTGATCCGCTGGTCTTGTTAATTTTTTGTAATTTAGTGAGTTTGTTGTAATTGTCTGTTAAAAAAGCGTGTAGCACTTTCTTATGGTTCGTTAAATTGTACTTTTCCGTTTCGACAACATCAAAATGACGTTTACATATCTCGGTTGCGTGATTTAAAGCAAAATGTATTTTCTTGATTGTATGAATATCTTCTGCGTCATATTTTTTTCGTTTAATAAAATACATCCAGACTATTTCTCTCATAATTTATCACAATCGGAATCAAACACTATTTTGGATTTGATAGTCAATAGCCGGGTAGCAAAAAGGTAGTAACCGGGCAAGAAAGGTAGTAACGGCTGCAGTTACTACCTCCTTCATTCCAGTTACTAATAGCTTACTAACGTAGGTAGTGAACAGGTCACAAAAATTAGTAACGGTTGCAGATAGTAACAGTTTACTAACGTAGGTGGTAAACAGGTAACAAAATGGTAGTAACGGTCCAAGAAGGGTAGTAACCGCTGCATTTTCTACCTATTTGATTCCAGTTGCTAGCTTTTTAATAACTTTTTTTAAAGAGTGTTGGAGCCATGCCAAGTAGCTCACGCCCTCCTAGCAGTGCGCGAAGACGTCTCTCTCCCTCGCCTGCCACGCTCTCGCCGTGTTTCTAAAGCCCCTAGAACTTCACAAAGTAGCGACGTACATGATTAACCACACGCCTCCTCTCTTTCCTCTCTCCCCCGACCTCTCCGAGGTCACCGCTGCGTCGGCATTGGCCAACTGCTGTCACGTGAGACCGCGGAAAGATTTCCTCTGTTTACCGTCGCCTGAGGCGGCCATCTTTGCTCCAGGGTGCGGAAGCGTGAACGTGTGGGCGCGCACACCCTGTGTTTTTAAAAACCTCGGCACCTGTGCTTCATGAATGCGTGTTGCTATTCAACTAGCGTTGTGCACAAAGCAAACCTGAGTGTTAGTTGCCGTGGGTGACTGCTGCGCCTTCGGATACCACATCAATTCGAGCAAAGAGAAAAAGTGTTTCATGATTCCGTCCGGCCAGCGCAACCACTTGCGGGGAAAGGCTTGGTTACATCGAATCGGACGAGAGAACTTTCATCCAACGCTTTCTACGCGACTATGCGAGGTAAGTTGCCATCCTTTCACAATAAGCATGCGTCGATGTTCACGAAACTGACTGCGTGCTATAACACCGTAAGACCGTCTCATTTATTCTGCTATATCTCGCTATTTATTATTCATGTTTTAGTACTGGTTCTCTTAAGTCGGTACTGTTTTAAATCTTTTTTAAGAATACGAGGTTACGTTTCCTTCTCGACGTTCTTCGCCAACTGGTCTGATTTCTCGGTATTCATTCGAGTCTCTACCATCATGCACGCCCACCGTTCATCGAGAATGTGATTGAGAGATTCGGTGCAGTGTTTTTAAGAAGGAAAACGTTAGTGTGAAAACTCGCGTTAAGAGCAGTGTTTTCTCTCTCTCTCTCTCTCTGTTTGTGTGTGTGTGTGTGTGTGTGCGTGCGTGCGTGCGTGTGTGTGTGTGTGTGTGTGTGTGTTTGTGTGTGTGTGTGTGTGTGTGTGTGTGTGTGTGTGTGTGTGTGTGTGTGTGTGTGTGTGTGTGTGTGTGTGTGTGTGTGTGTGTGTGTGTGTGTGTGTGTGTGTGTGTGTGTGTGTGTGTGTGTGTGTGTGTGTGTGTGTGTGTGAGAGAGAGAGAGTGAGCGTGACAGACGGTAGCTAGGCAAAGCGTGGATGCTCGACCGAGTCGCAGCTTGCATTGATAGTTTATAGAAACCTCATGTATGCGTCTGATATTGCAATGAGTGTATGTGCTATTTTGCGTGAAGACTTCTATCCGTGAGTGGCTGCCCGCTGTGGTAGAGGAGTGTTTATGGTGCTCGGCTGTTGATTCACAGGTGTCACGTGTCGATGCACGTGAAATACTTGAGGCCCGTGCATTGTGTGATATCAGTGCACCTTAAAGACCACCAAATGGTCCAAATTTCCGGAGCCCTCCGTTACGGCACCTGTCATGATCACAACGTTGTATTTGAGATGTTAAACCCCACATATCAAATCAAACAGCATTGTGGGATGTAAAACCACAGATATTGTTTTTATTTTTATGGAGCGTCATGAAGGAAATCTTAACGGTGGCACACTAGTTTATCTGTTCTCTTGCTGGTTCATTGATCAGTATACTTCGCATATCAAGTACGTATGCGAGGCGCACTTGCGCACCATGGCTGGCACGTAAATCTCCTAATGAAACAAACAATGCGGTCTATATGTATCCATTCAAAATGATGTACGCTTTCTAATGCATTCTTCTTTCAACGAAGCCCTGAGTTTCTGCGTGCACTGGCAGTCATTGCTTACTCCCCTTTTTTTTTTGCATGGCACATTTTGCCGGGGCACTATTATCTATTCATTCTACAATCTGAAAGGCTTTAAAGATAATTACTAACATGAGCAGTAGTGCATATATACTGCGTAGTATAACACGATTTCATCTTCCTAGGACCATTCCACCGAGGATCAGTCTGAGTCTTCATTTCTCAGGAAGTTTGAGATAAAAAGCTAAGACCTGATGCTCTACCAAGTATATTCAGACACCGGACTTTTCCTAAAGCCAGGAAGCCCCCTTTGGAACGTAAAAATGGTAGTCCTTCTAAAAACACTCTTGTCTTTTGTTGTCATATACACTAACGAACTTTGTGCCACCTTTCTGCAATTTAGGTGCTCCTCTGCTGAAAAATATTGGTTCATCAAATACCGCGACGTTGAAAGGTACTCGCATGTTCCCGGTACTTATTCATCTTTCGTTATTAAGTACGTTATTAACGGGATAGCCTCAGGTGCGTGATTGAACAAGAAAATTGATGGGCGCCGGCTCCAACACGAGTGATGGGAGGGTTGGAGCCGGCGCTCATGACGTACTTACTCACCTTATGACTTTGTGATGACATCATCGATAGCATAAATTTTCCTTTGTCAAATGGGGAGTTATCAAGGGTGCAGTGCAAAAAGAGGTAAGCTGCGGAAAGCTTTCGGTGAGGGACGGGAAGTGTTTTTATAAAGTACTGTTGAGCGAAACTGCTGTGTTTAATTGTTCGTGGTATTTATGGCGAAACTGACGAAGAAATTACAGGGTGCCATATGCATTCGCCCGAGACTACTAAAAGGAAAAAGCCATTCTGATTTTTTTAGTAAATGTATTGATCGATTTCAACAGCCGTCCGAAAGCTTTTGGCACTTATCTTGGTTTTGGACAGCCTCCAGAATCGAAGGTATCACAAGCTTTCTGCACCCGACCTAGTGCTGCACTGCCTTCATGATCGGCCAACTCATTAGAGAAACAGTTCAAACCAATGATGTAATGTGATGACTTCATATTTGTACGTCAAGATGACGTCACCAATTTTGGCGATCTTTGGCGTCGTGTGATGTCGTCACAACATGATGATTTTTTTGCATCACTATCGTCAACACGGGATGCCGACGCCCAATTTTCATGTTTGATGAGGCATCTAGGGTTTTAGCCTCAAAATGTAAGTCCATCCTGGAGCCAGTGTAAACAAGGAGCAAACGCTCTATTCCAACTATCCAAGGGGCAAATTGAAACTCATCTGTACCAATAAGTATGAACCATCTGTTATGCACTTCCAGCATCCTCAACTTACAGTGGTAGTAACATGGGTTGCTTCAACTTGCTGGGTAAGTGTGGTACTACAAATAATGAATTTGTAGCGGGGTATTTGATTAACGTAATCCACACTTTGTCCTATGCGAAATGCAGCTCCCGAATTCAATGCCAACAGTGTGAGTGCTTGTCTTTGCTAGCAGCTGCTGCTCATCTTGACTGTAAGGTGTCATTTCTAATTCGTATGTGTATGGCATACGACTTATCCGACATTTTTTATGCATACAGCATCCTGCAGTAGTTCAGGTTACCTGTACAAGCAACACTCAACAACCACCGGTTCCCGTGAAAGTAAAAGGTATTTAAAGCAAGCTGTAAATGCTGGGTAGCTGGTACTAATGACATCATATGCAGCAGTTCTTCGTAAGCTTGCGACAATCTTGCAGTATAATCACGCAAGTCACCGAATTTGCTGTATTTTTCCAAATGTTTCAGATCAACAGACGTTTTCAGAAGATGCGCCTCCTAGTACGTACGAGACACTTTTGGCGGACACTGATTGCGAGTTTACGTTGCCTGCTCTCTAGCACTCATACAAAATCCGTTAATCAATCTGTTTTTTATGTACTGAGCAGCACTAGCGTTCAGTTCTAACAGCATGGCTTCCCTGTATGAGGAACTGCCTGAGTACACAGTACGTAATGCTTCTCCATGTAGATTTATTCAGCAATCTCATTTTCGAAAGTACTCTCTTACACAATTAATTGCTTGTTTGTTTCACATTTTCAGTCAGTCCAACATCCGGTGATAATTTTTCACCAGGCTACCTCCCACAGGATTCGTACTGAATATTTTGCGACATTTAAGTTGTAGATATGTGTGTAGGGTCTATGAACTACGCATTTTTATGTCCTCCTAATAGCTTTACAAGTCCGAGATAGAGCAGGGGTACACCTTCTTCTGAAAGCTGCAGCTCATGTCGAAGGTACATTTTCATTGCTGTATTGTACCGCCATTGCCTAGCTTTGTCTAAACTGAAAAATGTCTTTTTTGTCAACAGCATCCTCTATCTAGCGCTGGTAATTTGAGCAGAGCTGACCCACACACTGTAGCACCTGAAAGCAGTGGTAAGTGATGGTGTTTTGAATTTGATATCTCTGGCACGAATCGCCAGCGAAGTTACCTTACAGTTTAATTTCCAGATACCCCGATCGCCCCCTACGCTTCGGAACTTCTGTAGGGAACGTGTCATAGTCCACCGCTACCTAAAAACAAGGACGCTGAAACTTCACCGTGTATCGTTAATATGCATCATTTTAGTTTCTTTATTACACAGTGTAATCACTGCAGGTATCTAATGTTGTCTCACGTGTAGATTCAACTGATGACCTGAAGGACAGTCTGCCAGTACAAGTCCCTTTGAAGGGTGTGCACCTTTCACCGGATGCTGTAACTGCTCTCCACGAGAGGTTACGGGAATTGGAAAACAAGCTCCAACGTACACAGAGAAGCTTGGTACTAGCACAGCGGCAGAAAAACAAAATAGTGCCAGAAAAATCAACCTTCTGAAACAAGTTTAACACTTCTTAGCTCCTGACTGTTGTAGTCCTTAGAAAGGCCATCAAATGGAAAACAGCATTGGTCGCCAAGCACTATACAGAAAGCCCTGAAAGTGTGACTGCCGTGTGGTGCCCGCGGATAGGCTCTTGTGAAGGAACTTTGCATACCTCTTCCAGCCGAACGCACTCTACAAGGCACTTAGAAAACAACAAGTTCTCTTCAGGTGTGCTTCACGACATCCTGCACTGCCTTTTTCTGAAAGTAAGTGGATGGGGCACTGTTTATAACAAATCGACTTTGATATCTGAATATATGCTTTCATTTTTCAGGTAAAGTTCATGGATGACCACGAGAGGCATGCAATCTTAAAGTTTGATGAAATCCAACTAACAGCAGGCCTAGCTCTTGATCAGTCAACCAGCGTGGTAATTGGCAGGCCTACAATACCTCTAGCCGATGGGACGCTGCCGGAAGACACTTTGGCTACGCATGGACTTGTTTTTATGTTAGGAAGTGTGACCACACGTTGGAACCAGACAGTCGCATATCACTTCACAGGGAATTTTTTTTTAGTTCTGGTGCTGTGAAGAAAGTTATCTTAGACATAATTGGAAACTGCTAAAAAAGTTCTAATAACGTATACGCAGTTGACAGTGACATGGCAGGTGGCAACCAAGTCATTTGGAAAGAGTTTGGCATATTTATCGGTAAGCACTGCCAATCAACTGTCTCATGCCCGCACTCCTGTGATGCAAGTCGCAGGTTGTATTTGATTTGCAGATGTTGCGCATCTCTCGAAGAACCTTCGCAACCATTTCACAAGAGGGCAATCCTTTCTTTTGCCAGATGACATAGTGGCTAAGGATAAGTTCCCTTCAAATGAGGTTAAGATTGAGCACGTGAAGGCTCTTGTGCAGATTGATGCTACTCTTGAATTGAATCTTGCACCTCACTTGAAGCCAGCTTGTTTAGAGCCAGGACATTTCGAAAAAAATGAAAGTAGGTCTCCCCTATTCATTTTTTAACCATAATACAGTCACTGCCATTCGTTTTCTAGTTCAAACAGGAGACCTCCCCATGGAAGCCCTCACAAGAGCCTGGTTTTTTGAAGCCATTTTATTATTACTTAAATTAATGACATCAAGAACGACAAAGCTTGCCCTCAGCAAGCTTGATGAGCAGAAGTACAGTGAAGCATTTGTATTCCTCAATAATTTAGTTTACTTATTTGAAAGAGTGTGAATTGGCAGTGCAAATAAAATTGCTTGGAAACATGTGCAGTCCGGAGTGGTGTTAGCGTCAACAGTACCACTTAAATTGCAGGACTACTACTTGAACAAAAAGAACTTCTTTTGTGTACTCCTCAGCCGATTTGGACCAGACGCGCTTGAAAAACCGTTTTCCACGTTGTGCTAAAAAAAATCCAGTGCCAAGGCCTCTTGAGTTACGCTGCGTCATTCGAGCTGCAACAATGGCGCAGTTTTTACGACCCAGCAAAGACCGTAAGTATGCTGCTGATGATAAATTTTTGTGACTAGCTTGAATACGTCAGATGGAAAAACTTGTTTCGAGACAAAAGACACCGAATTTCCTGTCCTCCCTCATTACATTCTTGAACTGGGCAATGCAGAACAAGAATCGTTATACTGTCTGGCAGGGTACGTGGTAAGCAATGTACTAAAAAAAACTGCATACTGTAAAGAGTGCAAAGAATCGCTTCAATCAAACAACGCTAGCACACTAACGCGGCTGAAATCCTACATGAGCAACATAAACCGTGTCCTACCTTCGCCAGCAGTTCTACATTTGAGTGAAAATGCTGAGGCCCTATTTTGTGCTAACAGCCAAGGCCTTCTGCAAAATAAAGTGACCCTTTGCACAACTAGAATCGTCTGCTGCAAGTAATAATAAATCGGTGAATTGTTTTCCATCTTGCCATGATATTCAGACGAAGCTCGGGAAAGCATTTTTCAAAACGAGGCAATACATTCTTTTGAAAAAGGAAAATGAGCGTGCAACTTCAAACTGTTCATGTTTGAAGTGCGGTAGTCGTAGGGTGGGAAAGCAAGTGGCGACAACTGGAGTAAGGTGAGAACCGTCTAACTGATGCCTCCCGCTTTTTGCGCTGAAATAGCTGCTCATTCTCCCTCTACATTTTTATTTTGGTTCCTTTTTTCCTACTAGTTGTTACAAAGTTTACTTGAGTGCGTTTTGTGTAGAATTACTTCTTGTATGGTAAGTTCTGTTGAATAGTATGACAACACACCTTGAAATAACACCATACATTTTATTGATGCAGTCTCGAATGTAAGTTTGTCAGCACAAAGCAGTGTTAAGTTACCGTGTTATTGCTTACTTGTATTTCGCACAAAGGTGTCATTACATGGAACGTGATTTACCCTAGTTATGAAACAGCTAGCGCTTGTTGAAACTCATGCATGCACGTCGTGTAGTCAATAGTGCAATTATGTGCGCGGACACTGTAAGCGCAAACACGTGATGCATAAATATTGGGAAATAAATGGCATACTTCCAGCTTTTCTATTCAATCGTGAATGGCGTGTATTATTCTTTCCAGCTCCATCACGGACAGTGAACGGAATATTGGTGTCAGGTCGTATTGTGCTCCAACCTGGTGGCAGACTAAAAGTAATGTTCTCAGGAGGAGTTTAATGTAAGCTAGCGTGAGCGAAATGATCTCGCAGTTTCAACTTATCGAACGAAGTCCAGGAAACTTGAGTGCATTCAGCAGGAAAATCGAAGTCTACACTCTCTAACTCCAACATAATACCACCAAATCCTATTGCTCATGTGTTTTTTGCACTCCAAAAACGTTTCCCACCCTTCGTGGAGTCTTATTTGCTCCTCATGAATGACAGTCATCTATAGGTGCTTCTTTCGTGATGAATCGGCACTCGCCACTTTCCCACCCAAAATGTATTTTTCAAGCTAATAGCACGCATGCAATTTACGACTTAAAATTACCCCGCACCCGGCGATAATGAAAGGAAAGACATCTGAGATTGATGGCTTTTTTGTGGCGGGATACAAACACAACCCGAAAAACGCTTTTTGCGAGATTGTTAGAGCTCACATGAAAAAGCAAGCGCATAGATCCCGTGAAAAAATAAAGAGTGAGCGAGCGAGATGCCCTTCTTTGTTTTATGAGAAAAAGAGGTCCCAAATACACCTGTCTTGCTGTATACAGTATGATATATTGTATACAGCGAATTCCCGGCTGCCAACAAACCGACGTTGCCCGACGCCTTAACGCCAGCTGTCTCCTTGATCCAGGCTGTTGTCCGCCAGGAATTCGCTAACCTGGGTATCCTGTCCACTGCACCCACCCTGGATAATACTGATCCCTCGATAGCTTCTGTGGACATGAGACGTCGCCGTCCGTACTCTATTCGGACCAGAAACCCGTCTGAGTGGCGAACAGTTGATTATCAGCCAATCTGCTTCCATTGTGGTCGCACGGGACACATCGCTCGTTACTGCCGCAACCAGTGGCCATCTATGTCTCAGCGCACACCACTCGCAACACATTCAGGCAGCCGTCAAATAGTAGACATGACCGCCACTGATCTTCCGCCTCCGCAAGTTGAAGCCCTACAACATCTTCTCGAGGCCTACCAGGATATTTTCGATTTTGGCGACTGACCTCTAGGGCAGACGTCCTTTGTCCAGCATCGCATACACACAGGTGATGCCAACCCTGTTCACCGCCGTTCCTACAGAGTGTCTGCTTTTGAGCGGAGCATCATTCAAAAGGAGGTGAACAAGATGCTAGCGAAGGACATTATTGAACCATCCTCCAGTCTCTGGGCATCCCCGGTGGTATTAGTTAAAATGAAGGATGGTCGTGGAGATTTTGTGTGGACTATCGCCACCTTAACAACACCACCAAGAAATACTCATACCCTCTGCCCCGAATCGACGACGCCCTTGATTGCCTCCATGGTGCCACCTACTTTCCTTCCATCGATCTTCGTTCTGGTTATTGGCAGATTACCGTGAACCCCATGGACCGAGAAAATACGGCTTTTGTAACACCCAATGGCCTCTACCAATTCAAACTCATGCCTTTCAGCTTATGTAATGCCCCCGCCACCTTTGAACGAATGATGGACTCCCTGCTCCATGGATCCAAGTGGTCTACGTGTCTTTGTTATCGGGATGACGTAATTGTGTTTGCTCCCACTTTTGAAGCGCACCTTGAGAGACTGTCAAAAATTCTTGATGTATTCCGTCTTGCCAGCCTTCAGCTGAATTCATCCAAGTGCCGGTTTTGTGGCCGTCGCATTACAATACTTGGGCATATTGTTGACACTTACGTCGTACAGCCTGACCCAGAAAAAGTTCGAGCTGTAAAGGACTTTCCTGTGCCGAAAACTGCCAAAGATGTCCGCAGCTTTGTAGGGCTCTGCTCTATACTTTCGGCGGTTCATCAAGAACTTTGCGGAAATCGCTCGGCCCCTAACAGATTTACTCAAACCAGATGAGACGTTTACCTGGAGTCCCTCGCAAGCAGCAGCATTCTCTGACCTGACCACTTTGCTCAATTCCTCTCCTGTTCTGGCTCACTTCGACCCTACGGCACCGACCGAAGTCCGCACCGATGCCAGCGGTTACGGAATAGGCGCTGTGTTGGCTCAGCGACAACGTGGCCAGCATCGCGTGATAGCTTATGCCAGCAGGCTGCTGTCCCCCTCGGAGCGTAATTATTCCATCACAGAGCGCGAATGCCTAGCGCTGGTGTGGGCAGTCACGAAATTTCGCCCTTACTTATACGGCCGACGATTTATAGTTCTCACCGACCATCATGCTCTTTGCTGGCTCGCCTCCCTCAAAGATCCCACAAGTCGTCTCGTCCGCTGGGCACTCCGCCTCCAAGAGTATTCTTACACCGTAGTGTATAATTCAGAAAAACTGCACAAAGATGTGGATTGTCTGTCACGCTACCCTGTGGCCGACTGCGATCCTAGGAGCACTGATTCTGTGGGTTGCGTCCTTTCCATCTCCCAGCTGCTTCATCTCGGGGACGAGCAGCGTCGCGATCTGGATATCAGCCGCCTAATACAACAGCTTGAATCTTCACCGCAAAACGCTTCTCTTCGCATGTTTATCTTAAAGGACCACACCTTATATCGGCGTAATTTATCGCCCAATGGTCACGACCTACTTCTGGTCATACCAAAGCACCTGCGCTCCACAGTCCTACGTGAGCTCCATGACGCGCCAACCGCGGGTCACTATGGTGTCTCTCGCACATGTGACCATGAGCGCCGCCGCTTCTACTGGCCTAGGCATTCACGCTCTGTACGTCGTTATGTCAACGCTTGCGAAGTTTGCCAGCGTCGCAAACAGCCATCGGGACTCCCTTCCGGATATCTTCAGCCCATCTACATCCCATCGGAGCCATTCTTCTGTGTTGGTTTGGACCTTCTCGGTCCCTTCCCGCCTCCGGAAACAAGTGGGTCGCGGTTGCTACAGATTACGCGACCCGTTATGCAGTTACGCGAGCCATGCCAACAAGCTGCGCTACAGACGTCGCTGATTTTTTTTCTACGCGATCTCATTTTAGTGCATGGAGCCCCTCGTCAACTGCTGACAGGCCGAGGCCGTACGTTCCTTTCGAAAGTGGTTGACGATATCCTGCGTTCCTGCTCTACCCAACATAAGCTCGCGACATCGTACCATCCCCAGATAAACGGGCTTACAGAACGTTTAAACCACACCCCGACAGACATGCTATCGAAATACGTCTCGGCCGACCATCGTGATTGGGACCTTGCACTACCCTACGTGACGTTCGCATACAATTCCTCCCGGCATGACACTGCTGGGTACTCGCCATTTTACCTTCTGTTTGGACGCGAACCAACATTGCTGTTGGATACCTTCCTGCCAGCCGCTGCGCAGTCTACTTCTGAATATGCACGCGACGCTATTACCCGAGCTGACCATGCTTGTCAGCTTGCCCGCAGCAGATTAATGGTGTTCCAAGACTCGCAGAAGCATCGTTACGACAAGCAGCATCGCGGCGAACACTTTCCGACAGGTTCCCTCGTTCTTCTTTGGTTCCCTACGCGACATGCAGGCCTTTCAGAGAAGCTTCTCTCTCGTTTCACGGGCCCATACCGTGTGCTAAGACGAGTGACCGACACTACATATGAAATTG